GAGAGTGAGTGAGAGAGAGAGAGTGAGTGAGAGAGAGTGTGTGAGAGTGTGTGAGAGTGAGTGAGTGAGTGAGAGTGAGTGAGAGAGAGAGTGGGTATATAGTTCATAACTAATTCAAATAAAGTCAATAACAGAGCCAATAAGAGCCTAAGTCACATTACAAACTAAACGCTTGTTTCCCCAAAAAAGTGATTCTGTGCTCACTGAGGAAAAAAAAAACTTTCAGAACTAATTTTAAATTTTCTAAAAGCTCAAACGCAGGTGTTGCTGGGTAAGACAGTCAGGCATCTGTTGCAGCTAAACTCATATTCAGCTCTGATCACCATACTGCTTGTATTAATGTCCATTAGGGTTGCAAAAAGGTGGAAACTTTCCAATAGATTTTGGAAACTTTCCAGGATCTTTTGGAATATTCCAGGGATTTTTGTTAAGTTTCCGAATATGTACCACCCCTTTGCACCCCTAATGTTGATTAGGGTCTAGATGAACGTTTATTGTATTCATATTGTTTCTGACGTCTACTGCACATTCCCATCATTGTTTTTATTGCGAAGGTTTATCTCTGCGATTTGCATGTAAAATAACCACTCCAACAAATCACGTTGAATTAAACTGAAATAACCCACACTATCTGAATATACAGAGCTGTATTAAAATGCTTTTTGCAGATTGAAAATGCATGATGAAGCTATAAACACACGCACTTGTTAACACAGGGTGACTGGGCGTTTCATACTGTACATACTGACACAAACTAGACATACTGTAACAAACCGCAGATACAATGTAACGCGTCGCGCGAATGAATCACGGGCTCGAATGACAAAATCACTGCGCCAAATATTCACTAATAGAAATAAAGAGTTGTGTTACCTGTCAACTCGATCGGATTTGCGGTCTCTGCTGTATTCCTTCGCTCCAATGACAAGATCCCAGATCAGATCAATCCGCTTCCAAATCCACCGCGGCAGCAATGAGCTCTAGAAGCCCGTTTAATAATATCCTCATCGGAATAAAAACACACGCACTTCTTGTCTAGGCTTTAATTAGTCTGAAACTGCTTTTGTGACACAGGTGCGGGCCGTGCTTGTTTTCTTCGGGAGAGGACGCCCCACGAATATAAACACCGCTTATTTGGAGGCTTAATATATTCAGTGTGTGTGAGGGTCCTTTTAAAAATGGCGGCCCGCTAGGAAACCTTTCAGAGTAAAAGTCCTGATGGTTCGCTGAAGAGACAGAGCAATTGAAATAAAAGTCCTCAGTAGTTTTTTTCTTCTTCTTCTAATTACAGCTTTTCTCAGTCGCTTTGGTGCATTTCTCGAATCATCCTTAATATTTGCAAAGGATAAGTATCGCTTTTTATTTCTCCTCTTTCCTATTACTTGTTTTCGCGTCTTGTTTTTATAACCATTTCTTACTATGTGTAAGTTATTGTTTTTTAACGTGTGTCTGGCTCAGTGTTATTTTTTAGGATTACTGATAAACTACTGTCATTTGATTTGTATTATTTGTATTTGTTATTTATTTTAATTTTAGATTCTGAATTTATTATGTCTGTATCGGTCTTTTATTAAGTTTTATTTAATTTGAGTTATTTTAATACTTCAACAAACTAAATGGAAATGAAATAATATATATTGAATTTATAAATGTGTATGTATATATATATGTGTGTGTGTGTGGTTGTACACACACACATATGTAGTTGTTTTTTGGTGTTTGGCTTAGTGTTGTGTTAGAATCATTATTATACTCTTATACCTTTTGTTCTTTACTATTTTGAATTGTTTTTAGCTTTATTTTTTTGTTTTTCATTTAAATGTTAAGTTTTGAAATTTTGTTGTATGCATTTGTCATTTTTATTTAATCTCTTTATTTTTAAAATGTGTATAGGTAGTATTTATAAAGTTTTAGCTTTCAGTTTTGGATCTGTTTTTAGTTGTTTTAATGCTATAATCGATTGTGTCTGTTGTCCTCATTTGTAAGTCACTTTGGATAAAAGCAAAAGCGATCACCAAAGCAAGAAATTTACGTTCTTTAATATCTTTTCAGGAGCCTGGCAGCCAAAAATAAATACAAATATGTCCTAAAACGTTGTTATTTCTTTATCATTGACACAGGGATTAAATTATACAGAGTAAAATATGTAAATATGTGTCTCAGACCTGAAATACTGTAGGATCTTCATTAATTAAAAGACTATTGTATTTTCAAGTGCATGGTTTGGGATCATTCTCAAACTAATCTCATGTTTAACAGAAATGTGATCTCATACTGACATCTGCTACTGAAGAGAGGAATGGCAGGCTGCTAATTGTTCTAGCAAAATGATTTATTTTAATAATAATAATAAACTACATAATTACACAATTACACAGTATAATTAAAATATAAAATAAGTATAAGAATGCTTACTTTTTATGCATTTTATAATTGTATTTTTATTTTACATAATTTAATATTTAAAGAAAACAGACTATTATTGAGCTGCATGTTCATTAGAAAAGGTATGCTGTAAAAAAATAAATAAACAGAGAATCAGCATAAAAATCTAACTCAGCTTATAAAATCATAAAATCGGATGAATGTCACGAATGCCATGGCTCATATATTCTTTGACCATTTGTCATTTTTTATATAGTTTTTATAGATGAGCATGTTACACAACCCGTCCATGCTCACACGAGCTCCATAGATGTTGCATTTTTTGATAAAATGGTTCAATGAGCTTATCCTCTTTGTGAATGCATTGTAGTGCAATGTTTGCATCAGATATCTATCTGTAACTGAATGATCCACACTATTACATCAGAGAGCAGAACGTTCCACAGGCTGTGGTTTTGGCAGACTGCCTTCAATATAAGCTGTTTTAGACTAACGGCAAAGTTTTGAGTTCTGAAACTTACAGGATGTTTTTATAGTACAATGACATCTTATATGTCAAAAGATCAAGGGAATTTTGGTTTTTCAGTTCATGTCCCAACCCAAGGCTTGCTTACACTTGTGTTACACTCAAAAATGTATGTTTTCTTCACCAAATAAGCATATACTTTAAGAGTGTAGTATAGTAGGTAAATTGGGATGCAGCACCTGACTTTATGAATGTGTTATTGAATCATTTACTCAACTAATTCTTTCAAAACACTGAATGATTCAGTAAGGAAACACCAGTGCGTGTTGCTCAGAGATGCTGTGATCTTACAGTTTTTCTCAGTCGCTTTGGTGCATTTCTCAAATTATATTTAATATTTGCAAATAAGTACGTGCATTTCTCAAAACAATTCGAACAAACAGCACTTATGTTGTGGAGCTTAGGAGATCATTGCAGTGTCAATCATTGCAGTGTCAATTATAGTCATATTTACAGTTTGAACAGACGTTGTATTCTGCTTCAAATGCATCTACTCATACAGTAACTCAAGACATTGATTTTGTTGAAGAAATGACAAATATTTTCCAGAGCCTCTGAGGGAATAATCTAATACGGTTATGTTTTATTTCATGTTGTATTCAATGCTGTCAGATTGATCTGTAAGCTGTATAATTATCTGTGCATTCTGGGCAGAAATGAAACTACATTTTTAGTTAGTAGGCTGATTTAAAATGTTTCTTTCAAAATAAAGCATTTAAAATGAAAAGGAAAAGAGTGTTCTGGTTCTAATATACTGTATATATATATATAAAGAGAGAGAGAGAGATCTACATACATTATTATTTTAAAACGCACATCCTAATGCAGATATTTATTGTGTTTGAATATTGATTTTGAATGTTACATGTTGTGGAAAAAAGTGAAAGTGTAGTGACATGTGGCCAAGTATGGTGACCCATACTCGGAATTAGTGCTCTGCATTCATCCCATCCAAAGTGCACACACAGCAGTGAACACACACCCGGAGCAGTGGGCAGCCATTTTTGCTGCGGCGCCCGGGGAGCAGTTGGGGGTTCAGTGCCTTGCTCAAGGGCACCTCAGTCGTGGTATTGAAGGTGGGAGAGAGCGCTGTACATTCACTCCCCCCACCCACAATCCCTGCCGGTACGAGACTTGAACCTGCAACCTTTGGGTTATGAGTCCGACTCTCTAACCATTAGGCCACGACTTCCCCAAGTTAATTAAGCACTGGGGAACTGGTGTTATGGGGCGAACGAGACGTGAGATGTGCGGATCCATGTGCAAGGCTTTATTTACAAAGGCGTGGTCAATAAACAGGCAAGGGTCAGATAACACGGGTATATCACAGGCAAGACAAAGAATATTCCTAGGGCTAGCGTGGGTGTTCGATCAGCGAACAGTATCCAGTGGGCTTGACAAGAGGGGTAATCCAATAAACACAGGCAGAAGGTCAGGAAACAGACAACAAGACAACACGAAGTGGCTAGACTAGAACTGGGAACTGGGAACTGGGAACTGGGAACTGGGAACTGGAAACTGGACAGGCAGAAGGTCAGGAAACAGACAACAAGACAACACGAAGTGGCTAGACTAAGACTGGAACTGGGAACTGGGAACTGGGAACTGGGATCTGGGAACTGGGAACTGGGAACTGGGAATGGCTCCGTAATGCAACTATCGCTAGAAGAGTGATATGCGCTAAACAATACTCGGCAGTGAGAGAGAGGAAGTCCATGGCTTATGTAGAGTGTGTGATTGGTTACAGCTGTATGCAATCAGTGCAATGGATGATGGGAAATGTAGTCCGTGGTGACGTGTAACAGTCTGTGTAGTGAGAGAGTCGATATGATGGATGAGTGGCCTCTGCTGGCGATCGGACGGAAGTCCATGGACAGGATTCGTGACAACTGGGTTATTTAACAAAACGAACAAACTATTTACAGGCAATTTTACATTTATTTTTGGTTTGTTTTTATTATCATTATCTTTTACTAGTTGTTCTTTTGCAATTATTTCCCCTTTCTGGATTGTAGATGTTTTGATTTATAGGCTTTTCACAAGAGCACGTTAAAAATAAAGGATTTACACTTCACTAATTTTATGGCCATTTACAGTTGTCACGTTTATGTTCCCGTTTTGTTGTTTTCCTCCCCATGTGTTCCTTGTTTTCCCTCTTGTGTCATTATGCCCTTTTTTGGTTATCTTCCTGTTCCTGCTCACTGATTGTTTCAATTTGATTCCAGGTGTGTCTCGTCTTCCCCTGATTGAGTTGTATTCTTAAGGAGTGTTCTTTGTCCGGTATTGTTCGTCCTTGTGCTACGTATGTGTCTGCCTGCCCTGTATTTCTCAGAAGTTGACGATTAAAAGACTGTGTTTTGAGTTTACTCCTGTGTCTCCTCGTTCCTCCACAGTAGCCGAAGCATGACAACGGTATTCACAAACTTCAGAAAACAGAAACACTGTATTAGAATAATATTCAGATAAGCTGAAGCATGATCATACACTGAACCTCTCCTATAAGCTACAAACCACCTCCCACTGAACTGCTATTAATCTACACATCACCATCAGAGGACAAGGTTCAATAAAGACTGCAGATAAACCAGCGTCCAGCGAGGAGCATCTCAGTTGAGCACGAAACGAAAGAGAAAAATCATCAAGATCATTTAGTACACTTACAGGAGAACAAGAGAAGAAATGTACAATCAAGGACCAATAGTCGGAAGAATGAACCCTGCATTCACTGGCCCTCAGGATGAACAGGATCATCCGGAGAAGTCAAGGATGGGTCAGTCTGTTCCGCCACCATACTATCCCAACACAGGATACCAGATTCCAAGAATCAATTCCATTTCTTATGGATATCCAAACCAACCGTACAGAGCTCCAGGAGGCCCTCAGGGCCCGTATGCCCAGCAGTCATATCCAGGGATGGCTGTGTATCCCCAAGCAGCATATGCTGGTCAAACTGGGGTCACAGTTCAGCCCACTGTGTTCATGACCCCCACACCGCCAGCCACTCCAATGCCAGATTACCTGTGCTACTCCATCTTTACCTTGCTGTGCTGCTGTTTACCTCTGGGCATCGCTGCTGCCGTCTGCTCGTGCAATGTAAGTATTCGTTCTAGACATTTTCTTAATTTTGAGAATATTTATTTGCATCATATGAATTAATAATACAAATAATAAATTACATAGCTTCCTATGAAGAATATAGTATGCAAAAATTTAAT